GGGGCGGCCACCTCAGCAGCCGGTGTCTGAGCACCCTTTTGCTAATAAGCCTTTAACGCCGAGGAGGGTTTGTGCCTTCCCTCCCCGCAGTCCCCGCGCGCCTCTAAGGAAAGGTGGTTTTTTCCTGGCAGGTTGGCTGTCAGCAGGCGTGAACTTACGTGACTTGTGGGTATTTTTCTCAGCTGGCCAAATTATCTTGTGTGTTCCTTGTTTAGAGGGCGAAAAGTGTCATTTCCTGAGCCTCTATCGTACCGCGTAGATAAGCGCCCGGAGGATGTGTATAAACCAGCCCCGTTCCTTGGCCCCTGCGTGTAGATGTCTCAGCTATGCTGTATTCATCAGATGGTTATTTACAAGTTGTCCTCAAATCAGGTTCCTCAATATAGGACTTGCAACGGCTGGCAGCATAATATCTGTGGGCTAAGTGCAACCGCACCTTCAGAGCCTGTTTTAAAAAGGGGGGGGGGTTTGTAAAGAAAACAAACAAAAAAACTTTGTTTCTATAATGTCAAGGGAGCTGCGTGGATCCTTCCATCAGGCCCAAGTGTTCAGTGCAAACAAAAACCCTCAAAAAACAAGAAAACGTGCAGCTTTCTGGACCCCAAGGTGCTGGTTGTTGTCGTGGGCTGAAAGCAGCGCTGGCCTGGGGCTTCAGGTGCGAGGGCTGTTGAAGAGCAGCTGTGACGGGGTTCAAAAGTTGAGTTGTCCTTTGCGCTTCCCAGGGACAGGGCACAGGGTTGAGATCGCTGGAAGCTTAGCGAGTTAAAATTATACCTGCTGGCTGAAAACATAAGCTTCCTTCCAGCTCCTGTTTCAGGCAGGACTTGCTTGAGAAGCTTTTGCTTGGGAGTTTCTTCAGGGAAAGGCCCTTGGTGATCTAAATGCATCTTAACCTAAACCAAGCTGCTGGAAAGCAGCTTCTCAAAAGAGAAGAGAGTCTAGAAGGGAGCACGATCCTAATTTTTAAGCTATAAACAGGCCTCAGGGAGCAGAGTTGCAGCGGGCTGCTCGCGCGCGGGTGCATCGAGGGATAAGACTCTGTCGGGTGCTTGCACGGACTTCTTCCCAGGGCGCCAGCTCGCATCTGGAGGAAGCAAAAACCCCTTTTAATCTGTGCCCCCCACACGCACGCTCGCTCCCCAGCGTTGCCTGGTGGCGCTGCCCTGAGCGTGCTGCTCTCGGGACCCTGGCTGGCTGCTGCTGCGAAGTTTTGGGGGAGGATAGCGGTGGCGTGCGGATCTGGGCTAGGCGAAGCCCTAGTGCCGCAGGCGGGGCTCAGCAGCTGAAGGGGTCTTGTGTTTTGACTTCTGCATGTGCCAGAGGAAGCAAAACTGGGAAGTGTCTTGAACTGCTTTGCATGAAAACTACTGCCTCGCTCTTTTTATTATTTTTTTTTTTTTCCCCCACAACTACACTTCATTATCCAGCTTCTTGATGCCTTGGCCGCAAGTTGGAGAGCGCTATCAATAGTACATTGTTGGCTGGGGGGTGAGGGAGGAGGGAAGGGAATAACAAAGCTGCCAACAGCTTTCTGGGGGTGGGGAACGGCACAGCAAAGTGCTTTGTCATGCCTCTCGACATCCACTACTACTGAACACACACTGGTCCATTGATAGCCCCAGTCATGCCGTGAGGAGGGACTTGTATTAACGCAAAACGCCACTGAGCGTGTGTGCAGAGGGGTTTGCCCTGAGACATCTTCAGTGCAACTGCTTTATATCTTTTCCTAGTGTATTTAAACAGCCTTTTCTCCAAGCAGCGTCTGCTGTAGGCCATGGCACATGGGAACGCTGCTGAAGAGCCCAGTCTCGCGAACCTGGAGGAGGAGGAAATATGTGGAGGAAGAATATTTGTGTTTCCTGTAGAAAGATTATTTTGGTATAAGATGGCAAGCCAAGATCTTAGCAAATTCTGCCTGAGTCGTAACTGCGTTTGCGAGTTATTTTTTGGCATTCAGAAATGCCAGATTTCCGTAGTTCGTTCGCAATCTGGTATACGTTCTAGCATACTGTATAGGCGGTTCAGGTGATTCTGATAGTGCAGCTCAGTGCTTGGTTTTTGGATACTTAAGCCTGCCTCCCTCGTGGAGAGGGATTAGAGTGGAAAAACACTGTCTTGGGAACAGCTCAAGTGAGAAGTTTTAGGACAGACAGTAAGTTGTCAATACATCTACAGAGTCTGTCCATTATAGCCTTGTTCCTCGCTCCGCGTGCTTAGTGAAAACCCTCACGCTCCCCTCTATTTTGGTGGTGTTTACACAGCTTTGCACTGGCGTGTTTCATAATGGGAACGCCGGGGAACGACTGGTTTCTCTGCGTTGCTTTTGCAGGCTTTGTTAGAGGAATACCGCTGCCGTGCCGTGCCTCAGCAAAGAGCTTTTGTGGTACTGATAAAGGGAGCAATGCTCCAGAAATAAAATAATTTGCTTTCACGAAGATCCTAAAAGCTAGGGCACATATTAAAGCCTGCGTTCGAAGTGATCCTGAAAGACCACGTGTAGGACATCCAAAGGAACTTAGAAACTGCACGGAAAACTTATTTTCTTGCCCTAAAAGTAGATCTGTGGGGTGAACTTGTAATTTTTAGGGTTGGGGTGAAGGATGCTTGTATGATGTTTCATTTGCATGTGAAAATGTCAACTTGGACAATGTAGAGCGTGTTGAAAATATCTGAAAAACCAGCCCTTTCGCTCCTCCTCGTTTTGAAAATGTGAAACTTAAACCTCCTCCTTCTGGGTCCTGTTGATCTATTTGTAGATATTTGTCTATAGAAAATGTGTGCTCATCTGGTCATGCGTTTCCAGCCATCTGCCATTGGCAGTCTTCCAGGCGTCCCTTATTAGCATGAGGTTGCTCAGCACTCTCTCCGGGTTCTTGGCTGCAAAGCCCCTCCTCCATTTCTAACAAAACACCGCCCGTTTCCGATACGACTTGGGCAGCGAGTGTTTTTAATGTAGATGTCCGGGCGCTAAAGCCCTGATAGCTGCCTCTGACGTGCTGTGGAGGAGCAGGGATACGAGTGGTTTGGGGTCACGAGGAGCTGTAGCGTCCGAAATGTGATCCCTGCTCATGTAACCTGGTGTTCTCTCTCTCTTTTTCTTGCAGTAGTATTTTACCTTTGAGTAACTGTCCCCAGCTGCAGTGCTGCAGGCACATTGTTCCAGGGCCTCTGTGGTGCTCCTGATGCCCCTCACCCACTGTCGAAGATCCCCGGTGGGCGAGGGGGTAGCAGGGATCCTTCTCTTTCAGCTCTGATATATAAGGTGAGAATGATCTGACGTCTAAATAATGACCTGTACCCGTGTTGCAACTGTGTTCGGTTCCTTTCACAGTCTGATGGGAATAAATGCAAATAACTCCAAGGTAATAAGTGGGAGAACAGCTAATTTTTCAGCGACGCCGTTGGCAGATCGCTGAGCTGCATGCAGCGCTCTCCCGCATAAATATCACCTGTTTATTAAGAAATGAGAGACCTTTTCTCAAAGGTGTGCAGCAAATAATTCACTAGCCCTGTTCCCGGAGGTCTGTTTCAGTTATTGTGTGCGGAGCCAGTATTATCAAAACGTGAAACAACTTCTCAAATGTCTCGCAAAAAGAGGAAGCGGGAAGCAGAAAGGTGAAATGCAGAGAGAGGATGGTTGATAAGCTCCTTCCTGTGCCCTAGTCCGGAAGGTAAAGCTGTCGGGGCCTGGGAGCTGCCTGAAACGATGTACAGAGTAACTCCTGACTTCACAAAAGGGTGAGGCGGCTGTCCACCTCACAGACGGGAACGTTTCTAGAACACGTGCATAGGATGAGGCAAGATCAGGAAGGCTTTGTGTCTGCAGACTTGCTTAGGAGCACGTGGATCTGTGTAGCTCTCATCTCCTGTTCCTCTTCATTCTACGGGACCTTTCCTTTTGGCTTTCGGATGGGGAGACCTGGCTGTTCCTTGCTGTAGAATAATTGGCACTCGTGCAACTTTGTGTTGCGTTATGGTGGCACACGTCTGGCTCCCTTCTGGGACAGGGGCAACTTTTCCGCAAGCCAGGGAGTGAAGTGCTATCAGATGAGGTAGCCTAAATTTACGCCAAGCTTGCAAATTTGGCTCTTCAGACAGGAGTGTTGTCATAGGTGTTAGACTTGATTTTTAATTACACTGTGGGAGGCACACAGACTTTACATGATGAAAAGATACAGGCCCTTTTGGGTCACAGCAACCAAAGTCTCCTCTTGAAATTCATGAGAGAATCGCAGACCTCACGGCTGCTTTCAGAGGAGTCTTCTTTAATGTAGCCTTGGTGAATTTTTAGCATGTGCCTCACCCACTTACCTTGTGAATAAATGTCAACCTCTGTAGCCTCTTAATAATAATGTAACATCAGCTTAATGCTATTGAGTTGAATTGTCACAGATGTTAGAGGGGTATGAAATCCAGAGAAGCAGCAGAGCACAACGGGCTTCCTGTCAGATAAAGAAGATACATCAATAGCTTCAAGAGGGACTCGGGACAAATAACGAATTCCCTCTGGGTGGGAGGGGACGAGAAATAGGGGACCCTGCAACTTGAACTCCTGCAGGCCAGCTTTGCCAAGCCTTGCGTAACACCAGGCGAGGTCCGAAGGCAGAAAATGGGCTCAATGTGGAGGAGATGCTGGTGGAAAGAATCACAGTTTGGAGGGTTTGAAGTGTTTGATTTCAGTATGGCCTTGAATTAGCACAGAAGCTTTTGGCAGTGGTGTGCAGGCAGGGGTTGCTGCCTGTGGGGATGTCGTCTAGATAGCTGCATCCCAGAAATACGGATATAATTCTTTCGGGGTTTATTGCTGACAAAACCTGGCAGAATCTGTCAGAAAATCAGCCCCTCCTGTAACATAGCTCATCCCAGAGCAGAGTGGGCTGTGTTGCCCAGTGGTTTGAAGTCCAACCTCAGACAGGGGTTACTGGGACTCTCTCTGCCCCTCTCAGTTGGCCGCTCAATCTAGCGGTGCTGTAGTTACATCAGGCTGAGCTTTTCAGCCAGCAGCCTTCAGCGTGACCTAGAAAGGCATCTGGACCCAAAAGCTTAAGTACTTTTTCCAGCTGTATCAGCTGTAGAGTTCAAGGGATGACCTTTCTGAACGAGCCTGCCTCCTTTGGAGTATGCAGCGCAGTGCTCGTATACAGCCGCCCTATAAATTAAGCAGCTGGGGCTCCCTATAGTTGTTGGGGTTTTTGTGTTAAGAGACTTAATACTCGGCCCTTCATCAAGGGAGCTTTACTTGAGCTGGGAACGCAGTAGTGGTCGGCGTCGGTGCTGCGCAGCCAGGACGGGCTTTGAGCGAACGGACGTGCTCTGGCTAGCAAACTTGGCAGGAGGCTGCAGGTGTAGCACATGCCAACAGTAGGCTGCTTACATGGGTTTCTCGAGTCGCTTGGCTATGGTAGATCATAACATCCTTTCTTCTTACGCTGCCAACGCGCAGGGGCCTCCCCCCGTCCTTGGGACATCTGAGGAGCGTAGCTGGGTTGGAAAATCTTGTGCTCAATGAATTGTAACCAAGTGGAAGCTGGTCTTTGCGGCTTTACTTCACTGAAATGGAGCCCAAGGCTGGAGAGCTGGTGGTTTAGGCAGCTTTGTATAAAAGATAGCCTGGTGGTTTGTTCTGTTGGTTTTTTTTGGTTTTTTTTTTCCCCCGCAGTAGTGTGGTGGGGGGATTTTGCAGGGGTGAACTAAAACCGAACATTTGTTGCGTAAACAGGATTTTGCTTTGAGCAGCTTCCAAAGAATTCTGGGCTTCTGCGTCACGGGAACAGCTTCTCTCCCCAGCATCTCGCTGTCTCTATTTTGATGCCTAGAAATAAAATATCAGCTGCCCAAGACAGGCTGTGTAAACGTAATTCCCACTGAACCGGGGGAGCTGGTTCTTTTAATCCCTGCGGTTATACTGCCTTTGGTTCATGGGCTGTCACATTAGGGGGCTTTTAAGTAGAGAAACCTCACTAGGTTTGGAGCGCGGGGCATAACTTCTGGTGACAGAAGGGCTAAGCCAGAAGGCTCGGAAAGCTTTTCCCCTCCTATTGCAGGCTCCTGCCAGTCTTCCTGCACAAATGCACGCGTGTGCCTCCCCCTCCAATGTGTCAATCCCAGCCTGCTTTTCTCAACTTCCTCACCCTGTTTTTGTTTTCATGAAGTATAAGAAAAGAAGCATCTGTGAGCTTTTCTTGAGAGAAGGATCTTTTCTGAAACAGAGATGCTTTCTGCACAGTAACAACAACTGTAAAAGGCTCCTATAAAGGCACTGGTGAAGGATGTGCATGTAATCCCCTTGTTTTAACTTGGCTTAAAACCTGTAAAACCCGACAGCAGGCGCAGCCACGAAAACTTCTTTCAAACTCGATGAATAAACTTATTTCCTACAGGATATTTATTCTGATGAAGTGTAAACTTGTTTTTCAGCTAAGCTTTGTGGGCTTTAAACAAACGGCAGCTTCCTCTGCTCCGGTTACCACAGCCAGGCAGTTCCTGATTTGTACGCGGTGTTACTTTGTCGCCAGCATTAACATACTCCATGGCTGCTTCCTTGTCACAATAGTCAAACCAAGAGGGATCTATTTTAATACACGTGTTAACAGGAATTAAAGCACTGGGACACAGGTTTCAGGAGCCTCAGGACATAGGGTCTCAGAGATGTTTTTGCTGAATCGCTGGTCTTTCAGCCATGCTTCTACCATAATGGCTTGAAACACCTACACGAAAACATCTGCTTGAAAAGCCACAACACTGGGGATTCTTCCCCCTCTTACTTGGGCACCGTTGGCTGCCCATGTGTTTGTACTGCCCGTCTTTTACATGCTTCTTCACTGCAGATCCAAACTGGATTAAGTTTTCTTTGCTGTACTTGCTGCCTGTGTGCGTTATGGTCAGAGATGAGTATATGTCACTACAGAGCGTTTATTAAGCCTAGTCTGGTGAGATGCTGTCTTTCTGCAGCGATGTCACTTGTTTCATTGTCAGTCCAGCTGATTGTCAGCGGATCAGAGTTCATCATGAGCTGCTGAATTAATCACCCTGATAAAATAAAATGCCCGGAGGCTGGACGGTTGGTCACCTAATGACCCGATGGAGTAAACCACCTCCCACCCCACCTGTTGATGAGAGAGGGGCACACGGCTTTCCCAGGCGTTCCCGTGACTCGGGAACAGAGCAGACATGACTTGTATTATCTGGTTTACTTCTGCCCTTCAAAGCTGTGCAGGTGACTTTCTAAATGTGAGAGAATCAGGATGCATGAGCCTGTAACCAAGCAGATGGGAGCAGTTTAGCTTCCGCTGCAGTTGACAACATTAACTCAGGAACCTAATGAATTTCTTCATCGTTTCATTGGGGCTCTTTGCAGTGAAATGTGGAAATCATTATTGGGCGAGCCAACTGCCTGCAAAAATTGTCAGGAGGAGGAATGGAGTTTTAACCACGAAACTGTTTTCTAGGAACTGCTGAGCTGAATCTGAGGCGGTCTGCATGCTTGGCATTCTAGTTAGAGTAGTATTGGAGAGGGACGTGTACATCTGTGGTCTCTGGAAAAGACCTCGTCACAATCTTCAGATCTGTGTAGCTTCTGACTGTTTGGGGATTCTCTCTGCGCTGTGTATTTTCCTCCCTTAAACCAGGAGGCAAACCATTTGCCGTACCAGTTGGTTGTAAAATCTGGGAAAGCAATTTGCGGTCATCCCTTAAACAAAAAGACTGTGTTGGGGATTGGGGAGACAACGAAATTGGTCAGACTGCGGCAGCAGATGCTCTTCCAGCTTGTCGGTTCAAGTTGTGTTCTTTGAAGGGTAGTTCGTGAACCGCCCTCCAAAGATGTGGCTGGGACCTGCGGTGAATGGACTCTCACTACCCAGAAATTTAATATAGTGTAAATATGCAGAACTGCGTTCCCTTGAATAGGAAAACACGACTAGAGGTCTGAGTACTCATTGTGGTGTGTCCCTGAGCCTGTGAAAGGGGAAAGGAAAAGTATAATGATGTTCTTAGTGAAACTATACCACCATTTATTTTGCGTTTGCATCTCTCTAGTTATACTCCCCTGGCCGTTTAGTATGTAGGACTTTACTTTTTTTGTTCTTTATTTTTTTGTATTAGGTTAGAATAAAAGCAAGATATTCTGGAAAATACAGGTAGTTCAGAACAACAGCTATTAACCACTTACACGCTTGTTTTGAGTGCTGAGACTCGGATATGAGCTTGCAGCTGACTGTGCATGCTTTCACGAGCTATGGTGAGTCTCACGGTGGTGAATTTTAGTGATAGGCTGAAACTCTGGACACACACCAGTCTGTAAGGGCTGGTCTCCTTTCAGGAGGGTGCTCCCACTGAAAACAGTCCCTTTGCATGCTCACTTAAGCACGGTCTCTTACATTTTTTTTGGTCTACGATCTCATGGATAGTTTTCTTTAACCCTAAAGCATATTTCATGAGCTCTCCTCCCTCCCCTGCACAGGACGAGAAGATCACTGTTAACCAAGATGTCCCAGTGCACGAAGGGAAGCCTCAGATTGTCCACTTCCAGTACAAGGTCACAGAGGTGAAGACCTCCTCCTGGGATGCAGTGCTCTCTAATCAGAGCCTCTTTGTGGAAATCCCTGACGGATTATTAGCTGATGGAAGCAAAGAAGGGTAAGTTCAGGATCCCAGAGTTGTGTCTGTGGCTCTGCAGGGCTTTGCTTACATGGGTGATGCTGTGCGTGTGAGGAGAATGGGCTGTATGTACAGCAGCTCTGTTCCTGGTTTGTGTATCTGAAGTACGTCCTTACTCCCTTGTCTTCAGAGAAGTGTCCTCCTGTTAGTCCTCCTTATATATTTTCTTCCCCCTTAGTGATCATTTCAGGTGAGTTACTGTTTTTGGAGTCCCTGTGCTAATGAAAAATAAGCAATAAATGAGCGGAGTGATTCCTTGCATATTTTGGTATAGAAAAATCTACAAGCCTTTCTCCGATTTTTATTCTGCTGGCCACTTGGCAAGCTTATTTTGGCAGGCATTTTCCTCTCTTTCAGGGGGAAAAAAACCCTCCATTATATTGATGTGCTTCTTCTCATCAGTAGGTGGATCTGCTCTTGGAGTGCTGCCACGCAGGCGTTGGGCTCTGCCAGAGTCTCTGATTTTTCTCTGTTGGCAGAATACGGTAGTGTTTTGTCCAGACAGCTCTGCTCTGGGAAGCTTGTGTAAACGCAGCTTCCAGAGCAGCTACTTCCTGCCAAGTGCTTTGCCAGAGATCTCCGCTGGTGGGGAGCACTGTAGCGTAGATGTGGCTTTACTGGATTCCTCTGCAAAGCTCTCTGAAGTCCTCCTAAATCTCCAAGCAGGCTTCATCCGTAAATGACACAAGCTAATTAAGAAAAAAAAACCCTCATTGGGCACCTTCAGTAAGTGCCAGTATTCTTGCTGTCTCACGCTTGTCTCATTTGACTCCGAGTCCAGATAAATGTTTGTGTGATTTCTTCAGTCGGCCTGTAAATCCTTTAGCTGTCCAAGTTCCTGCTCTTCTGGGAGGGTATTTACCCGCCTGTGTCATCATGACTTAAAGTGCAATTTTGTAAGATTATTTTTAGCTAGGTAAAACAGCCTAGTAGAGGCTATAATTAAAATAGCTCATTACCATATTAACAAAACCCTTGCAAATTTAATCTCCCTCGCTGCACTCCAGTCTCGCTGACTGCTGTTTAATTAGATGTCGATTGAAGCCCTGTTTGTCACTGCTCTAGCAGCCTGCATTGTAAATGGTTACAAGGCCAGCAGTGACAGCGGTGGCTCCGCCGTGCCGATCCCCGGGGCTCAGAGAGGGGTTAATGCAGCGCTGCTTCCATCAAGAGGTGGCAGAAATAATTTAGCTGGAAAGGCAGGAAGCGTGGATTCAGGGTGCATCAGCTGTGCCATCCAGCTGATGTGTTCAGGAAGCAGCTTTGCCTGTGCACACGCTCCTCCGGTGATGGTTTTCTCTTCTCTTCTGCCTGGCGTGAGCTTTTTTTCTTTTCCTTCCGTGAAGCGCAAAACTTGCAGATCCCCTCGTGTGTGTTGCCAGCGGAGGGGATGTAGCCTGGCTCGGGATCAGCTGCGGTATTCAGCTTCCTGCGCACGAAGGCTTCTGTACAAAACCACTGGCTGGTGGGGATGGGTGCTTGTGCACGCTGGCGCCGAGGACAGTGACTTGTTGGGAGACTTGGTGTGAGGATAGCTCTTAGTTTTGCAGGGCTGGATAGCGAAGCAGGAAGCCCATTGTTTCAGCACCCATTGTTTCAGCACCCATTGTTCGCTGGAAGGGGTCTGTAAACAAGTAATCTTTCTGAAAACATCCAAACAGTTGATAATGCTCAGAGGCTTCCTCAGGACAGGACTTCCTATAGCTGATGTTCTTTTGTCTCCTTCCTCCTTGGCAGGTTATCAGCACTGTTGGAGTTTGCTGAAGAAAAAATGAAAGTAAACTACGTCTTTATTTGCTTCCGAAAAAGCAGAGAAGACAGAGGTGAGAACTCGCCCCCGCTGTCACGTTTGCTCCCTAGATCTAAAATGGTGCTGCTGAAGCTGTACAGAAATCTGGTAATCCCAAAGCAAGGCTCCACGGGACGCTTCCTATGGCAGTAATTGTTATATGGATAACTCTTGTGGCGTTCTTACAAATTAAAAATAGTTTCTTGTGGAGGAAATAAGGCCTTTCTTGAGACTATGGGAGAGGGCGTATTGTAGTTTCTCTAGCAGATATGCTTTGCTGTCCTGCTGTTAAATTATTACTAGTACTGTCATGCAGAAAGCTGCTGCTGAATTACTTGGAGGATTTTCTTGTCCAGAAATTGGTTAATATTTCTCCTTTGGTAAGGAGTGGAGGTCTCCATTTGGCACCAGGCTTGCGTGATTTGGAAGGAGAAACCAGGGAGAGGTTATTACATGGGAAATGAACACTTACAGCTTGTTGCCCTGATGCTAATCTGCTTTTTAAAGATCTCCCGGCAGTTTTGCCCTTCCTAGACCTACAGGTAATCCTGACCCTGGCTGTAGATGCTTATGGCTTAAGGGGGCTGCATTAGGATCTAAAGATAGACGCGTTGGATGAGTGATTACAGCACGGAAGTCTGAGGAGATTTGTGGTGAGGTACCAAGCTGTGGATGTGTCACTTTAAATCTTACTAGGCGCAGGCTAGAAACCAAGCAATTGCCATGGCAGGAGTAATTCAAACCTTAATTCTAATTTTACTCTGCTGCTTCACAAGCCGCACTGTCTTGTCTGAAACGAAGCGCGTTATTAGAGCTAAGCTGTGCTGAGCCCAGGAAGATGTCATTCCATGTTATGATGCCAAGAATAATTTTCAGATTAAGTTCTTGCTATAAGGTGACCGCCACCACAGGCTGCATAGGTGACCTCCGCAGTGGCTGGTTACAGGAGACATCTGATACTGGGTTTTGTTTTTAAAAATGGGCTAGGTGTTGTTCTTGGACCTGGCTTATTTGTATGAGTCCTGGAGCGCTCCAGATCCTGGGTCCTCATCTATGCAGTTGAAATTCAGCGCTGTCTGGAAAATATATAGGAGCTCTTCCGCGTGACCGTTCGGTGGCTGGAAGCTGATCATCAGAGGGTGCCGTAGAGATTAGATGCTGCACCAGGGTAACTTTCACAGGGCACAGGGAAGCGATCGCTTCAGTAGCAAGCGGGCATGCATCCGGTCACTGTGTAACATAACCTTGCCTGACCAAGACAAGTTGCGTGTGGGGACTGACCCCGCTCTGAATTTGTCCTGTGCGTAACCCGTGGTCTGAGGGTGGCTTTCCTGGGGGACCGCACTGAGTTGTCTTGAGTTTCCGGTGAGCTCCAGGTCCTCCTCACCGAGGCAGCAAATTTCTGCCTAGACCTTGAGTAAGTAGATTCCCCGTTTACTGCTGTCTGACCCACTTCCAGGGCTCAAAGGGTGCTGGGACCCACGTAAGTACAGGATAAAAACTTTGACGTGCTGCGGGATGGCTGCGTGCATCCTGGCAAAGCGGGGCTGTGCGGCTGGTGCAGGTAGATAACCAACCATCGCTGTTTCTCAGAGGGGATGGAACAGACATCACGGGATAAACTGGCTCTGCTGCACAAGTAAAATCCCTTTCACGCTTACGAGCAGCTGTGATGAACGCAGGAAGGGACAAGACCTCCTATTCGAGAGGGCTGTCGTGTTAAAATGGTTTCTTTCTGTGCTCTGGATGCGCTCACAGAGGGTGTTCAGTGTATTTGATATTCGTGGCTTCTAGGGTGATGCACGTAAGGAGGATTATTCCTGGTGGTAACAGATTTCCTTCTCTCTGGTAGCTCCACTCCTGAAGACATTCAGCTTCTTGGGCTTTGAAATCGTGAGGCCTGGTCACCCCTCTGTCCCGTCGCGGCCAGATGTGATGTTCATGGTGTACCCCCTGGATCAGAACTCTTCCTCTGATGAAGAATAGCTGCAGCGGGGGACTCCAGCATTTTCAGGTCACGCTGTTGAGGGGAGAGAGGGTTACATCTCCTTTCTTGAGGAAAGGGAAACCAAGCTTCTGTTGGACTGAAACTGCATTTCTCATTGTTAGATTGGCCTGTGTATCCTCAGAGTTGACTATCTCATTGAAATGTGTTGCCTAGAGAACTATATATACACACATGTAATCACCAAATAGTAAATGGAAGATGTTTATGAACTGGCATAGGAGCTCTTTACGTGCAGCTGTGTGGTGTGTTAGCCTAGGGGCACCTGGTGCCCAGGCCGTGCGTGGGGGAGCACAGCGGTAGATGCAGTATCAACTCCTTGACTTCTCTAAACCCGTGTTGGTCCTTTCCCGAGCACCCGATGTGCGCTCATCTGACAGACTACCTTTTTATTTTTCACTCAGACTCTTAAGTAGAAGGCATGTTTTGGGTGTTAGGCACATGGAGGAGACGTGCTCGAGTTTAACCTTTAACACTACATTAAAACCCCCGTGCGTCTCTGCTTTGGGGCGACCGATGCTGTTTTAACTGGTCTAACCTTTTTTTTTTTTTTTTAAAAAAAACTTCTTGCTCTTCCAGCTTTTGTTTTAAGCAGTCTTAACTCTGTTCGATGTTACCACTGCGCTATCACAGCGTTCAATAAAAGGGGCATTCAGATGAACCTCACACAGCTGGGGCTGCTTATTTGAAAGGAACAGAGCCTCTGGTGGGCCTCCCGTAGCGCTGCGATGGTTTCAGAGGGTCAAGCGAGTGTTCGGAGCAATACCTCCGCTCTGGGGGAGCGTTTCCTCACCTGCCTGCGGTGTGATGGTTGTGATGGTCCAAGGAGCCTAAACAGCTCGCGCCTTTATCCTCCGCCCAAGGACGGGTAAGGAGCAGGCCCGTGGCCGTCACCTCTGTTCTTCCTCCTCGCCTTTCCAAAGAGATGATCTCAAGACTTGAGACACCGAGCTAACGGCTGTATCCAAACCAAAGGGGGTTGCGTGTGGGGGCAGGCGTGGATGGCGGCTCTGCCGGTCGCGGTGGGATGCTCTCCCCATCCGGGGGCTTTCCCGGGATGGAGGGATGGGACCGCAGCGCCGGCGGTAGCTCGCGTTTCATCCCTACCCCTTCTGATGTTGGAGAATGAGGTTGTGCTCTTGTCTTCGTGCCATGTGGATGTAACCTGGCTGGCTTGCTTTGAAGGCCACACGAGAAGGGTGTATTTATAAACTGTGCCCTGGAGGCGTGCCGTGAGCTCTCTTCCTGGCCTGGCTGCTTGCGTGTGGACTTGTCCTTGTGTGCTTTGTTGTGCTCTCACCCTTCTGTGGAGGATTTTGTTAAAAGCTGAAGCCGAGCCATTCCATAAACGTCATGGTCAGTGTTTTCTGTTTGGGGGAGAGAGGTGGGGCTGGGATACAAGTTTGTGTGAATAAATCATCTTAAAGTTTGTGTCTCTTTTCCCTCCTTCCCCTCCGATGAAATCAAAGGGCTGGTGGCTCTACTCCCTCTTCAATGGAGCATTAAATCCTAAGTCTGGTTTAAAATTAGAGGTTGGGACCATCTCTGCCCTAGCTTTTATTGTGGGGCCATCAGCCCCTCTTGTCCTGGCTGCGGCTCTGTGCCAGCCATTGCCCCTCCTGGCCTTGCTCCAGGTGCGGTGCAGAGACAGAGGAGACCTTGCACATGTTCCCTAGCTGAACCCACACCGAGTTCTAGTTCTGGCTTTTCAAAGGCCAAGTTTTATCCCTTGTCATAGCTAGAGCTGCCCCAACTCCTTCCCTGGGCTGGTGGGTGCCTCCTGGGGTGTTTCTGCATGCGCCAGGACCCTGCTGCCACCCCATTGTGCTCCTCTACCAGCACATCCCTAATGTGATGGGGTGGGAACCACTTTGCTCCTTCCTTACCGGTAAAATTTACTGGTAAAGTGCAAGGTCCCGGTCATGGGACCTTGGAGTGGGGATGGTCTCCTGAGCTTGTTAATAAGCTGCAGTTATTAAGCTGTGCCAGTGCATGTGCCTCTCCGACCAGTACCAAATACTTGCTTGAGCCAGGGCAGGAAAGCGTGGTCAAATGTAAAGGTCTCAGCTAGGAGTGGCTTCAGAAATACCCTCTTGAAAAACCTGATTTTTCTCGGTGCTGCCTAGCAAAGCACCTACCGTTGCCAAGCTGGGGGAGCCAAGCTCTGCCCTGTGGCACACCGCGCCCCCAGCTGCCTCCCCCGAAGGGGGCTCCCTGGGGCGACGGAGACGGGCTCGCCTGGTGCAGGCCAGGACCCTGGCAGGCCGTGGGGCGGCTGCCCAGGGGTTCAAGCCTGACCCAAACTGTCACGGCTGAGCTTGGCCGCAGCATCCCCAGGTGGAGCTGTGTCGGCTGGCGGCAGAGCAGAGGGGCCGGATCCAGGTG